AACAAATCCCAGAAAAACTACCACTTGTTTATTTTCAAAATTAATTGATTACTTTCAAAAGATATCCTCTAAGATGTTATCGGGGCACATCTATCTGAAGTGAGAATACAGCAAAACTCTTCTTTATAAGAACGAGAGTTTTAAACAATCAGAAATCTGTGAGTTCATTTACTGATTTCTGTTCGGTATTTAATCTTTGTCTCTTTTATCTTTGTTGAAGTATTTAGTAAATTAATTTTCTTTAAATCTAGGAACACAAACTGCTGCACTTTTTTTACTCTATATGGGTACTAAGAGCCAGAGAAGAAAAATCATTAACGAATTCCAAGGAAAAATGTACTCCTGCCGTCTAATAAGTTATCTTGGAATTGTTATTTAGGTCAAGCGGCTATGAAAAAACTATATAAACTGGGAAACTTTTGGAGACAAAAAACAATTACTGCCAATTACTGGGAGACATTCTAACATACTTTTCTCGCCTGAACAATAAAAAAATGTGGAGACTGTCATCATGCTAGTATTACACCATGTGTCCTACGCTTGAGAGTCTTATAAGAAAGTCCTGAAAAATAGTTGATAATCCCTTTCTTATCAGAAATAAAAATATTCTTCACTACCTTAATATTCTTTATTTCCTTTAAAACACAATAATAAAAACCGAATGTGGACACCACATGGCTTTCTTGTATGGCCAATTAATTTATAAAAATGTTTTTGCTGCGACAATGAAGTGGTGTTAAATATTGTTAAATATTCAAAAGAATAAACTCATATTAAATTTTGTTAAATATTCAAAACAATAAACTCGTATTAAATACTGTTAAATATTCATTTTTAAACTAGTTCATATATAAACTGTAATTATGCATGTAATTAGATTTTGTTATTTATCGAAACGTAATATTTTTTATATTTAACATTGCCAAAAATGAATATTTTCGTCTTTAAAACACTACTGTGATTGGAACTTTGTGACTACAACCAATTATTGCGAAAATAAAGGCTAGGTTAGTACTTTTAAACCGGGTAAGGGAGTGGGTATATATATATAAGGTCTCTCGTATATCATCTCCACAGAGAAATTTAATTAAAACGATGAATTGGAATAAATTTAAGTCAGTGTTTTAAAGTGATAAATTATTGAAATAAATTTTAGTCAGTACTTTAGGTCAGTATTTAAAGTTATTTAGATTTATTATAGTAAAAAATTTTTTTTTAAAATCTGTTTAGAAATATTATTTTGAAACATAAAAATTTTAAATTGTAAAAAGAAAAAGTAAAATTTAAAGTTCTGAAAAAGTAGCTATTGTCGTTGTTCGTAGATTAATTGACTTGTCAAGGGTTATTGTCATTTATCGTAGATTAATTGGCTTGTCAATTAATGTCAATGTTATTGATCGTAGATTAATGTTATTTCATTGATCGTTATTGTCATTGATCGTAGATTAATTGACATTTCAAAGGAAGAAACCGTATACTTGTAATGTATGCACATGTATACGTTTGATGCTGCAGAAAACAATAAAAAAGGAGGCACACAACTAGATGTTATAGCAGTGCAAGAATGATTCCTTACCTTCTCCAGCAGCAATTAAATACCATTTCCACTTAATCACGTATCCTCCACATTACCCAGACGAGTTAATTGAAAAATGTGCGGATGATCATAATACACTGCTCGACATTGAAAATGCAACACCAAGAAGGAGTGATCAGAAAGTGATGACATTTGGAAAAAAGACAGAGACAGCAAGCAGCAATAAGTGATCTTTATTTCAAAATGATAGTCAGAATACAGAGCGAGAACGGCGGCGGCTCAGTAGGATTTAGGATTTAGGATTTAGGAACGGGGAAGACGGGCATTACGCCTTTACCATTTGGTTAATTGGTTTAGCGCCGTCTCCCCACTACGTGATCCCAGTCGTTTATTGATATTAGCAAACAGATACATAATTTGAAATGAATACAAAATTTGCAATGATACATAATTGAAATGAATACATAATTTGCAATGATACACAGTTTGGAAGGTAAAAAAAAAAAAAAAAAAAAAAAGCATATGAACAGTAGGAGAGTACGGAACAAACAAACAAGTCATCTGTAAAAATACTAGGCTCAAATATGCAATAGTTAAACAAAAACATATACAAAGACAGAAAGTTGCATACAAAATAAAGAAGAATTTGCGGAAAAAGCTATACTTGCTGACTGAAACTATCCATATTGTCAACAATAACTATAGTACCGACAGAACTATATTACTGACTGAATGCGATATTTGCAGATCGACTAGAATTATTTACTGATAATGCTATACTTGCTGACTTAAGAATGAAACTAGCTAACATGAGACAAGAAACAATGATATTGAAATTGTGTACTAAATAAAAAGTAGACAGATTCTTACAACATGAGACAGATTTCAATGTAATTAGATTAACATGATGCCATCAAATAAACATTTACAATTTCTGTTATAGTACAAAGGCTCACTATACATTACAATACAACATACCAACATAATTTACTAATAATACTATACTGAATGAAGATACTTGTAAGCATGATACAATGATTAAGATAATGATTGTCTTATAGACAATCAACTTAATAAGAAAAGCATACTATCGATAGAAGAGTACAGTACAATCAAACCAACGTGAGAACTATGTAAAGGCATAGCTTAAATATATATATATATATATATATAATAAAAATAATAAATAAAATAAAAATTTCTAACAAACCTGAAAAGGTGATAGATGGAGTTCGATACACACAAACTAACGTGATGCAGTCAAACTTATATTTCATTTGTTATTAACAGTCTAGCTACAAAAAGCAGATAGTACATGGTTAATATATTTCCTGAAAACCATTTAGATTAAACTTGACATAGGTCAAGCCCAATGCTGGAGACTTTCTCCATTACGCAATTTAGTTTGCGGATCAGGTGTCTTTGCTTAACTAAGAGTTTGCAAAATGCCTGACGATTTTGCGTAGGAAATCGTATGTGTAGGCCTTCTGTCAGGGGACAATTGGCTAAATAGTGCTCCGGAGAGCCGAGTTCACCACAACTGCAGACATTGGTATCACTTATGCCAAAGCGTGCGAAGAATTCAGGAAAAGGTCCATGCCCCGAAATGTAACGGGAAAGATGGGCATTGCCACAGCAGCGATCTGTCGACACATATGAAAGATGGTAGAAAGTACGTCGACCGGTGAAGCTATTGTCCCATTCCTCTTGCCACTTACTAATTGCTCGAAGACGTAAAGTTCGCTTGAGAAAAGAATGTGGCCAAGGAATGGATATATTCTCATCAGCATCACCAGAAGCCGCCTCCTTGGCATAGGCATCTGCAAGTTCGTTACCATATTCTCCCACATGCGCTTTAACCCAAGCAATATGAATAGTGAAAGACGGAGAAGCACGTAAGTCCTGTTGAATGTCTCGTATAATTGGAGAGGAATGCTCAGGATTGCCAATGGCGTGGATGACAGAAAGGCTATCAGAATTGATTGTCGCTTGTGTTATATTCTGAGTCAGCAAGTAGCGGATAGCGCGTGCTATCGCCACTGCTTCCCCTTGAAAAACACTATTCTGCATAGATAAATGTCCCTTCCAGTGGGCTAGAGGAAGATTATCACGAAAAGCAACAAAAGCGCTTCCTACGTTATCATCTATCTTTGATCCATCAGTATATATCACGTGGCTTGAAGAATTACGAAACACTGATGGTGGAATATGGAGCCTAACTCCAACCCCATAGTCTGCTGGATGAATACTAAAAGGTTTCAGTTTTGCTTCATAGTCATCAGGCAAATAATGTTCTCCATCAAATGTGATAGGCCTGCGTAGTTGCACAAGTAACTGACGAACAGCCTCTTCCTCAGTTCTAATATGAAGAGGGAGTAGACCGGCTAGAACATTTAGTGAGTCCGAAGAAGTTGTAATATATGCCCGAGTTATACTCAGGGCAAAAGGGCGTTGGATGGTTGAAAGATGTTTGACTTTTCTCCCCTGCATGGGGAGTGCCCAAACAGCAGCGGCGTAAGTAACAATCTTTTCTGTGACAGTAGTATATAGAATTTTTTGGATATGGTGGTTTAATCCCCATCGATATCCCTGAAGATAACGAAGCTGTTTGGCAATCATCTGTGTTCGTTTTTTAATGGACAGAATATGTGGGATCCAGGTTAACTTATCATCAATGATAACTCCCAAATATTTGATTTCTCTGAGGATTTGCAACCTGTGGCTATTGAGGACAATTCTTGGTCGCCTGACCAAGGAACCTCCTTTCTTAGGTACAAGAAGTACCTTGGATTTGTTTTCAGCAATAATCAATTTCAGATCATCACAATGCTGTTGAAAGAGTTGAAGAGACTCATTGCAATTTTGCTGTAAAACTTCGCGAGAATGTCCCCGGATAACAAGAGCCACATCATCGGCATACGCATATATATGCGTATGATCAGGCCAGGGAGCTTGAAGGATCTTATTAAAAGTGAGGTTCCAGAGTTGAGGACCTGCGCAAGAACCTTGCGGGCATCCTCTTGTCTGTACTTTTTCGATAATTCCCGCTGGATGTACTGCAATAAGACGTCTGTCTTGCAAATAGTGTTCTAAAACTTTATAAATATTACTCGGACAATTGGAGTTTACCAGAGCTTGCTTAATAGCTACCCACCACAAACTGTCGAATGCGCTTTTAAGATCTAAGCTGACTAATGCGGTGTGGTAGCCAGAGAATTTATTATTCAGGATGTCTTGTGTGATATCATGCAGTGCATGTAATGTAGATGAACCGGGCCGAAAGCCATATTGTCGAGAACTAATAATTTGGTGCTGATGTAGATGAAAACGCAGACGAGTCATCAGTATCTTCTCAAAAATTTTCCCAAGCGCTGGAAGTAGGCAAATGGGTCGAAATGAAGTAGCCTCAGTCGGGTTTCTATCCTTCTTTAAAAACAAGACAACCTGGCCTATTTTAAAAGACCTAGGAAAAGTACCAGTTGCCAATAACTTGTTGAAAAATATAACAAAAAATACTGGTGAGGCCAAGATGGCAGTTTTGACGATTGACGATGGCATAGTCAATGCCATCCGGGCCTGGAGCTTTCCGTTTCGGCAAATGGGCAACAATGAATTTTAATTCCTTTAAAGTAATTTCTTTGTCCGGAGACGCAGTGGATGAGAGCTCTTCTTCAGATATCGATGAGTGATGGGAAGTACCCTCATAGAGATCAGACGGTCCAAAAACAGTATCCAAGATATGAGTCAGAGTATCTTTGGTAAAATCTTGTGAGGCTGTTGAGCCAAGAGGAAGAAATAATTGAGCAGGTTTGAATAATTTGCCTGTCATTATCTTATGATGAATCCCATATGTATCATGCGATTCGGTACAGAAGGCATGCCAGGAATTCAATTTCGCTTGTAAAATTGAACGTTTATATTTTGCTCTCTCCTGTTGATATAGAGGGAGCGAAGTTGGTGGTAGATGCATTCGTCGCTCATATTTGATTCGCCGTCGTAAAGCGCGGCATTTCTTCTGCTGGGAACGAAGTTCACTGTTCCACCATTGTATATTATTTAGCTTTTTGGCATGGCGTTGTGGTAAAAGATCATTACAGATTTGTTGAAGACCCTTCTGTAGAACAACCGTGAAATTCTCCAAATCAGCGCGAGTATTGGCTGAAGAAAGTTGACCATCGAGATCATTTACTAATGCTTTCACACGATCAGTAAAGGCACGTATCCGTTTCCCTGGCAGATTGTAGCGTCGAATAATTTGAATGGTTGTAGGCTGAGCTATTGTAAATGTAATATAGCGATGGTCGCTAAGACTTATTTCATCTTCAACTGTCCAGTTCTGGAGGAGAGAAGCCGCAGAAGTGGAACTAATAGTCAGATCCGGCCATCCACGTGAATGTATTCTGTCGAAGGTTGGAGGGGCATCAATTGAGTTATGCAGAATTAAATGATGTGCTGATAGAAAATCCTCCAAAGAATGGCCTTTTTCATCCGTTGAAGCATAACCCCAAGTTGTATTATGGGCGTTATAATCACCCACAATAAACTGAAGAGGGATTTTAATGCGCTGTAGAGTAGTTGATAGAAAAGTCAATGAAGGAAGAATGGACTCGGATGGAGATGAATATTGTGAAATAAAAAGCATGGAGGTTTCCTGTACATCAAGAAGAATGGCTACATTGTCCCTATTAGCTGCGACGACTCGGTCGGTTTCCAATCCTTGTTGCAATTGATAATGATGGCCCTGGGTGGTTTCTCCAAATCGCCTGCTTGAAAGATAGACCACTGAAGCGGGAAACCCACAGCAAGTCCGTCCTTAATATAAGGCTCCTGAACAAAGATGAGATCAGCCTCACGTTCTACTGCGTAATGCGTAAGTTGAGCAACAGCAGCCTTAGCGTGTTGAAGATTGATCTGTATACATTTAATTGAAAGTCCACTGCGGATAAAATCCATGTTTATAGTATCAGCCGATGCATTTCCAATAGAAGGCAAGGACTGATTATTAGTACTCATAGTTTGTCTTATCTCGGATGGATTGCACACGACGTTGGTACTGGATACAGGCTGAGTCGTAGGCAGGATGGTCGTAGTCGAAACCAGTTCCGAATCGAGCATTGGCATCACTGCAGTTGATACACAGTGGATTTTGCGCTGTACAGTCCCGAATGCCGTGCTCCTCAGCACAGTAGGAACAAAATTGTTTTCGACTCTTGCAGTTGGCTTGTAGATGACCGAACTGCTGGCATCGGAAGCATCTGCTAATTCCAATGTGTTCCGAGACTCTATGTGCCTGCCAGCCGAGGAAGATCTTGTGTTGTTGCATGAGTGCACAGAAGCCTCGGGGCTCGCACTCAAAGATCCACTTAACGTGCCCTTTACGGCGCTCTCTAAGTCGATGGAGAGGCTTGAAGATGTTACTGGGCATGCCAGTGGCACCACTGATTTCGGCAACGACATCCTCTGGCTTGATGGATTCGGGCAGGTCATGAACTGCGCATCGAGGTCTGTGCCGGCGGGGACGGCTAATCTCCGCTGGGATGTCCTGGTTTTGGATTTCTTTTTCAAGGACATTGGCATCATCATTAGAGTTACACACCACCTCTAAACCACCTCGGCGGGTTTTAATAATTCTCTCAATGCCAACCTTAAGTTTTGAGAGAGGAACTTTAGCATTTAATTCAGCTTTGAGCTCAACTTCTGAGACATGCGCTTTGGGATTAATATATATACGAGGCTTGTTATGTTTTCTAGCAATCTCCGCAAAAGTAGGTATTGGAGGAGCAGGCAAAGATGTAGACGCCGGTAAATCACTTAGCAAAGGAACAGAAGGTAGTGATGGCGAGGAATGAGCTAATTCGCAACAAAGTACTGTGGAGGTGTTAACACCAATATCAACCTTGGCGGGCTTTAATACACATTCAGGACCCGCTGAAGCAAGAGTTTGTAAAGCAGTAAGAGAATTTAAGAGTCTAGTGCGTAAATCCGTGGGCAGCGAAAATTTTGAACTTCGTTTAGTAGTTGCAATTCTTCGAATGTCGTCACACAGTGCAGTAATTTTATCAGTATGAGGTAAATCAGATGCCAATACTAATGTAGGATCAAGTCCATTTTCTGGATGTGCTGAATCACCGTCAATCGGGAGAAACTGATTGACAGGACATATTTCAAAGAAGAATTCTGTAAATACTTAAAGTACTCGATGACTGAACAATTGTAAAGGTGGCAGACTGTACTTAATAACCTAACAATGTTGGGTGCACTCCAAAACTTGTAATAAACTTGGTCGTTAAACTTCTCTGTTTTTCATCTGTTTTAAAACTTGCTGTAATCCAAAAGCTGTTATATTCAGGTGTTACACACTGAGCACACACTATTTCAAATCGCAAGTGAGTCACAAAACACAATTTTCATTAAGTCCAAAAATTAGTGCAAAAATTTGTATCTCCGCTTCTAATTAACGGATCTGTTTCAAATTTGGAAACTTGAACCTTCCGTGATCTTATTGGAAGTATGGCACAGGTTTCAAGTTGATACAATAATTAGCGGCCTAATTAGCAGTGGCCTGATTAAAAGCCTACTATGAAGAAATTCGCCGTTGGATTTGGCCTTGACAGCTTCCTCTGCTCACGGGGGGGGGGGGGGGGGTGGAATGCGACCGTTACGAAGCTTCAACGGTCAAATCGTCTTCCGAATCGAAATGCTGCTATGTAATTACAGTAATTTGTCCATAATTAATTTTGTAATTATCCAATTGTCTTCACACATATCTTGAATTGAAGAGGGAATTTATCTCTACAAGATGATGTAACTTTTAGGTCGCGACGGATAACAACAGCTCCCTCAGAGGACTTCAAAGGTGGTATATCCGCTGGGAATAACACAGCTCAATGCTAATTTGTTGTAAAAATGATAATTAGAGAACAAATTGACCAACATATATAAATGGGGTATCAAATTGTTCCTGTTGATCTTAGGAACAGATAGCAACTACTACCAAGTCGATGCGAGTAAAACGTCCGTAGTTATTGAACAAATAGACGGAGCTCAAATAGTGCGACTTACCCTCACGGCGTCTCAAGCCAAACTTATAATAGTAGTAGGGGAAACGGCCGTTTTTCCATAATGGCGTTTGACCGTCCCAAGTTAAGAAAGTGTGGGCCACTTGCGCAGCACCAAAACGATTACGCTCACCATCGCATAAGTCAAACAAATCCTCACACAACGCTCACCCAACCGTCCAGGCATTAGTACATATGATAGCAAATACTGAGATTCTCTGACGATTATAATACAATGTGCAATTGGTACTAATGAAATTGCAATTATAAATATACTGCACAATACAAGTCCAATAGTACAATATCAAATGTAAAAAGTAAGATATAATTACAAATGCAAATATTTCGTGAACCATAAGTGCCAAAATAATAGTAAGTTAAAGGACTACTGCTTCAAATATTAGTACATATGATAACAATACTGAAATTCTCTGACAATTATAATACAATGATCAATTGGTACATAATGAGATTGTAAATATAAATAGACTGTATAATACAATACAAGTCCAACAGTACAATATAATGCAAACACGAGTATGTGTGTGTGTGTATTTAATTATGGCAAAGCACACGAGAGCTATCTGCCTAAGAGGAGGGATGCCTTCGTGGAGGACTTTCTAAGGGAAACTGGCTCGTATACACGTTACACATGGGGAAAACCACGAAAACGCCCATCCAGCCAGCCCGTTCGCGGGATTCGAACCTCGGACCGAACTACCAGTGTTCAGCGACTTTACCGCTCGGCCGCTGGTGGGCCAAACACGAGTATGTAATTACAAATGTTAATATTTCATGAACCATCAGTGCAAAACAATACTAAGTTAAAGGACTATGCACATCAATGCAAAACATAAAGTGTTAAAGAGTAGTAGTATACAATGTTAGATATAGAATACTATACAAAAGAAAGTCATATTCTTACAACAGAATGGTATTGCGATTTAATACCAACAGTATTAAAATATAATTATAATAATAAACTCAAATAAAAATCCGAACATATGACCAATACAAAAGCAAAATGTTATTCTTAAAATATCTTGCAATGCATATTCAAATACAGTCAGTAGATATATACTGATATAATTATACATGCTAACAAGTTAAAGACATATCGAGAAAACACCCATACAATCGATAAGATCTATACAATACAAATTCAAATACTAAAATAATCCAGATACTAATAGAAAAGTAAATGCATATATCAAATGTACTTCTAACAAAGATAATATAATATATATATATATATATAAACATTCTTATTGAACAAAATTCAACGAAGATTCAATGAGACAAATACCAATCCAAGCATGTATAAGTTGACATATGGGGATAGTATTAACACTAACATGTATGCGTACAATATACTAAAATTGTAAATTATGTTACCAAGCACAAGTCAGTACCATAGGATGAAGTATTTCCGTAATTTGATCAGTTTTTTAACTAAGTATTTTTTATTTAATTAAAAACTTACAAAATGCACGAGTGTTAGTATTTGGTATGGAATGTGATAATCTTGTGTAATAGGACACTGAGTCACATAATGTTCAGGATTTCCAAGTTCACCACATACACCACATCAGTATTTGAAATCCCATGTCGATAATAGTAAACTGATAGGGTCCATGCCCTGTAATAACGTACCAAATGATGATTGGTAACCTGTCTATGTATATCAACATATGAAATATGAAATAAGTACGACGACCTGTGTCGGAGCATCCCAGTTTTGTTTGCCACGCAGAAATAGTCTTGAGTAAAATTTCCTTTTTAAAATACGAATTGGCCATTTTACCATTAGGTTTCAATTTCACCATATGATCAATACTTTTTTTGGGCAGCTATTTTTGCAAACAAGTCTTTGATGATTGAATTATGTTGTACTTGTCTTCCGGTTAAGGTTTCCATGCCTTTAGTAAATCTGTATGCAATATTTTTAGAATTATCAACAATTTAAAAGTTGTTTAAGTGCCGCTAAGCCTAATAATTTTTTCCTTGGCGGCCATTGCCTGTTTACATTTGAAACAGCATAATAGTAGATTTGTTGCCAATCTAGAGAAAGTAAGCTTCCCAATAACGCCTTCTTTTATTATTTCGAATTAAATTATGCTTAATTCATTCTGGAATTTATTCGAGGAAATAAGTGTTTAAGATTTACTTCATAATTTTCAATACAGACATCTTGCATTAATGTATTTTTGCCTTGTAGCGAAGTGAGAACTGAATTAATTGAATGAGAAATACTGAATTGTCTGTGGAAAACTGTTTCTTTTTTGTTGTTGTTGTTATTTGCTTAATTTCTTTTATACATCGTTTTAGACTTATTATAGTATTTGAACAGAACATGTGGAAACGATTAGATAATTCTTAAGTTGATATAAATTTTGTGCATTCTGAGTTGAAAAATGAACGAAATATAACGCTGTTAAGTGAACCTAGGGCCAGAGTGTCGCTATGGTAAACAGACATAGTGAATTTTAAAGAGTGCATTTATTCTATTGTGGTTTATGCGCTATCGTCGAGGTAGGTTTAATACAATCCAATAAGTTTAAATGAAATGTAAGAAAAAATGGTA